ACGTGAACTGGCTTGTAACTACATATTTGATTGTTTATTGCTATGTTTACATTAGTTTGCTCCATTTCGACTAAGTGCTTCACACGTAGAGAACAAAGTACTTCCGCAACAAATAGCGAAATATTTACTTACATTTACCTTTTACTACTACGTTGACTCCGTTTAAGTGAAGGTGAAGTAGAGAAAAGCGATGATTTTGGCACATGCTTGCACATTAGGGTGGTCATAATATGTAGGAAGTAAATTTTTACATCAGATTTCCTAAGCCCCAACTCCTAATTCGATGCTACTATAGTCGAAGATATCACATATAAATTTTGGTACCGATTGGAAACGGTTAAGGCGCGTCGCACAGGGGTCAAACTTCAGATTACCCTATGAAAACGACTGCAACCGAGATCAAAATTTATGTGTGATATCTTCGACTATGGTAATATCGATTTTGGGTATTAGATGAAAAAAAAAATAATAATTTCTATTTTTTGAGTTTCTATAAAAGAGTCTGAACTTTGCCCCATGTGTGACAGGCCTTAACCTTCTCCAATGGGAGCAAAAATTTATATGTGTTCATTTGATTTTTAAGGACCACCCTAATGTACATATATGTAGGTGCACAGTATTGGTGAAATCTTAAATGCAAACAACAGCAGCTATATGTAAGTACATATTTATTGCAAAACTGTGTTGAGACATATACTATATATATGTACACAACATGACCAATAAGTAAACTATTTCAATTTGCTCTCCATAAAATAAAGTTTACATTATATTGTTATTTGTGTACGTGTGTATGTTCATGTATACTATTAAAGGGTGAGTCAATAATTTTTGATATTCTACTTTAAGTAGCAGCGAGCAAAAGTCTGAGTGAAAACAGTTATATACACTCATGGTCATAATAATAGGAACAAACTTCAAAACTAAACTGTTTAAAATTTATGTCTATTTATTTTTTTTTTTATAATTTTTATTAGTTTTCATTTAAAAAATAGTTCGATGCACAACATAAACCACATAAAAAAAATTTCAAAGTTTGCATAAAGTTCACGAAAATTAAAAGAGTTCAAACATTTTCAGAAAATTTCCAAATATGCAGCTTTGTAGCCCATGCGATTTTAGTATAATAAAGTGTAGCTTCAAGTCACTTAAAGTTATCGTTAATATATTTCTTATCATAAGGAAGCCAATATACATACATATGTAAATGTGATTATGTTTGTATGTAGAAACAGAACGCCAATTGTTGGTATCGTAAAAATGTTACATAATGAAAAAAAAGGCCGCGCATTTTTTGGTAATTAAAAAAATGGACATAATTTTTGGGTTCATTAAAAAGTGCGCACATGAAAAAGATGAACATCAATTTTTAGTAAATTAAACACTGAACATAAATTTTTGGTATGTAATTTGAAACTGATTATACATACATGCATTTTTTGGGAAGGATATAATTTTTTGTAACAAAAATTTTGTTTTTCTACATTTTAAAAACTTTATAAAAATTTTTGGTATTTTAAAAACTTCGCGTAAATTTAAATTTTTGGAAACTTAAAACTATGCATTAAAAACAAACAAGCCATAAATTTGTGGCAATTAAAAGCTGACATAGTTTTTTGATTTATGAAAAACAAGACAGCAACACCGGGATTACAAAATTTATTATATTTGAAGACGTCAAACAAAATATTTCGGAAATATGTTAAGATTTACGTGCGATGGGTCGATATGGAAATACCTCCGAAAATGGAGTTTTTATACTGAATAAAAATAGCTTCTTAAAGATTAAGAAAAAAAATCCCCTCAAATGACAAAACGGTTAAAGCATAAACAATAAAAAAAAATTGGAAAAATTTTTCAACGAAATCGTAATAATTTGACGCTATTTTTTAGCCAAAGGTTACTCATACGCTCTGGTGGTCTTATAACTTTTTGTTTAGAAGAGTTGTAATGTGAAAGTTCTTTTGCTTATTTGATTTACAGCCGACCCTATCATGAGAATACATTATATATCGCCACACATGGTAAAAGCAAAAAAATGTATATATATATATATGTAATGTACGTTATATTGTTGAGCACTACTTTTAATACTTCACACCATTTCTTATATTTTTACTACAATAAGTGCAGTAGTTGCATTATTTTTCAAATGCTTGAAGTTCACTGCGTACAAATGTGTGTATGTATATATTCCAATAACACGTTAACACTTGTCTTGTCCTAAATACATACATCCGCCATGAGGCTAAGGACGAGACACTTGGTCATGCTGGAAGCTGTGAGAGGAGGCTGTTCCACATATGAAAATATTTAGGACTTAAATAATTTTCGAGTTGTCGGTGAATTGATTGTGCATGCAAAGGTTCTACATATATTTATTTTCCTGGAGATTTTCTGCGGTAAAAGTGACAAAAATAATATTTTTAACATCAGCTGACACTTCGATGACAATTTCGCGGGTTTTACTTACATATACACATACTATTTTTTTTACTAATGAAGACGCATGGTGACAAACCTCTAAAACTTAATTTGAATTTTCAAAAATCTAAATAAATATTCGAAATGTTTCGTCTATATCCTTCCAGCAGTTTCTGAGTGAATAGAGGTCTCACAAATTTAATACAAATTATTTAAAAAGTTAAATAAATTATTACAATACAACTTTCAATCGAAAGGCTTTATTTTTCATCTTTCGTCACCCACGTTCCAGCGATAGAGAACTAGGAGGGGTGTAGCATCTAGAAAAATCTTTGCTCCTCGTATGTGCAAAATTTGCACCGCGTAAACCAAGACGAACACAGGAGCAAATGGAGACAAATCTAATCAGCTGTTCTAGCAACACTGCTCGTTGATATAGTTCGAGACTTTTTCAAGATCATTTTGGAATTAGTTCGGGATGAGTTCCGGCTTAACTTTAGTTCATAGCTTTTTCGGGTATAGTTCGGGATCATTTCAGGTGTAATTCGGGACAAGTTAGAGCCTAGTGTGGGTCTCTGCGTAAACGTCTTGGGCTTTTTGGGATCATTTTGGGACTAGTTCAGGACTTCTGCGGGGCTAGATTATGACTAATATTTGACTTTTTCGGGGCTAGCTCAGGACTAGTTTATGGCTTTTCTGATAATTTTGGGACTAGTTCGGAACTTTTTGCTCTCATTTAGGGACTAGTTCGGGATTAGTTCTAGGCTGGCTCAGGTATTTTCAGGGCTAGATCGGGACTAATTGTGGACTTTATCGGGACCAGCTCAGAATTAGTTCATAGCTTTACGCGTCTAGTTCGGCACCATTTCGGCACTATTTCAAGATTAGTTCTGCACCATTTGAGTCCAGTTTGGGAATTTTTAGGGATAATTTCGGGAATAGTTCGATCTTAGTTTCGGACATTTTGGAAATTTTGTTAGTTGTTGATTAATGAATGCTTAGTTTTTAAACTACAAATCCGGTTGGAAAATTTTGTTGTCGTAGATGATGGAAAATTTAATAAGCTCTACTAGTGAAAATAGAAATTTAAGACTGGCCAACTGTATCTAAAGAAAATTGACATTAAGTGAGTGCTCTTTTTTCAGATTTTTAAAATATAAATTCGGCTATATCTATAAATTTTTTATACTGTCTTATATACTGATTTCATTTACGTGTTAAGTGGAAAATTATGTATTTTTTTTTTTAGTTCTGTAAACTCGTGTTATCGTCGGCAATAATGCAAGGCGGTCCGCAATGTTTTCTTCTATGTTTTTTATGAAAAACTTGCAGTCCTTATGTTCCGCACATCACAAATTATATATTGTTGCAAGGCTAAAAAAGTTCACTATCGTAATAAGCCATGCGATATATTGTTTAAAATATGCAATAAAAATATTTAATTGCAAATTTTTTGCAAAAAAAAATATAGTTTCCACCAAGAAAAAAAAAAGTTCTAAGAGGTGACCAATTTTGGATTCTCAATAATAAATCCGACATGAGATAAAGTTGTAGGAGAACAATTCTAAGATGGAGCAAAAAAACCTGCATATTTAAATTCATATAAATCGACAAAAAACCTCTGCAGGAAAGAGTCCTTTTACAATAGCAACATTGTAGTACGAAATCGCCGACCTAGAATTTTTTAACTGGTTTCCGAGGCGAATTTCGCCCCGTATATGCTTTGCTGCTTTTTAATTAAATACAAATAGCTCCACATTAAAAAATTGTCTCACAGCTCTAATAAATTTCAATGCTTTTATGAATAGATACACATATGTATGTGTGCGCACGTGAATATATACGAATACAAGTGATTTCTTTTTTATTGAATTTTACTAGAAGTTGCATTTTAAGCTCCACCACAAATGTTTTTATAGCTCACGCTACCCACTAGACTGTTTTTATTTTCCACATTCGCTGTTATTATTCGCAATTTTTATATTTCCTTTTACACATTGTATTTGCTCTTTGGCTCTGCGGTTTCCTTTGCTCCTGATACATATAAATAAACAATAAAACCCACTTTGTACTGAAAACAGCAGCACAAACGAGTCCATGTAGAATCACAGGCATACATGCGGCTATATCCAAGTAAGAATGCTTATACAAACTACTGGGGTTTTTTTTGTTGTTTTTTTGTGAGACACATTCCCATTTGCAGAGATCTAAACAATAGCATAACAAATGCGAGTACCTTAAAAATAGCACTACACACAAAATAGAGTTTCCGAGACTCCGACGTTTCCGTGTGTTGCATTGTGCCGACAAATGCTAACCAAACGGAAAACGTCGTTGCACTTGTTGTTGCTCTCAAACTCTTATGTACACCTGTATGACAATACAAGAGCATGGTGAATGTGGAAAAACAGTGGACAGTTGTACTCGAGTAGAAGTAGTATTTGTTTTGCGCGTTGTAGTCGCTTAACAGAACTTAACATATAAGTGCATAGGTATGTGCATAAAAAATTTAAGTACATATCATTGAAGAAGAATAGAAGCAACACTCACACAGCGTGCATTGCCATTCCACTTACCAGTAAAACCATCCGGGCACGTACAGTTGTAATAGGCGACGCCATCTATGCAAGTACCACCATTTTGGCAGGGCCCCGACCAGCATTCATCCCAATTTGTTTGGCACTGAATTCCCGTATAGCCATCGATGCAGTAGCACGAATACGAGCTGCTGAATGGTTAAAAGGGAGAGAAAGCAGAGAGGAAAAGATATGAAATTGAAAGAAGACCACAAAAGCGCAGAGATTAGTTGGCGTAGGAAAGTGTGGGAGGTAGAAGAAAAAACAAAAAAAAAAAAAACATGTGTACATTTATAGTTACAGACCTGGACAAACAGTGGGAACGTATTTATGTACATATGTAAGTAGCCAAAAAAAGGGTGTGTGTGTGTGTGTAAATGCAGCACTTTCAATTTGTACTTTTGTTTGTTTATGAGTTTATGTGCAGCTGGTTATAAAATAATGGCAGTGTTCTTTTATGATAATTAAATTTAAAAATTAATGTCGTAAATTTTTTCGTTGTTTGTTATAAAATTTTTCTATTATGAGCATTAACGATTCATTAATATCCTTAAAAAAAAATAAATATCTATATAACGATATTGCCAGGGCTTGGACTCTCCAAAGAAATTGTGGACACGAAAAGTAAACTGAAAGCGAGACTGAGGTTTCGTCATTTTCAGCAACAATGAGGTTTGGTATGAAGACAGCTGCCATAACTTAACCCAATCTAAGTTCCTTTTTTCAAACTCACTTTTACTAATTTCAACGCAACTGTATCTACGCTTTCATCGGCGTAGCCAGNGGGGGGGGGGGGGGGGGGGGCATTTCAGGGTACTATTTTATATATATATAAGGAAAATTTGAAAGTTAGGGGTGAGCACGAGCATCCCCCTTCCCCTACCTGGCTACGCCCATGTACGCTTGTATTAGTTTGTAGTGACTAAAGTTTTTTGTTTTGTCTATCAGCTTGTATGGACAGTTTGAGAGCAACGCTTGTGTACAACAATGCCACCGCAATGTTACTGGAATGGCAGAAAAGCAATTGCAGGAAGAAATTTAAGCAGAAAAATTAAAACAAAAACAAGAATTCATAAAAGAAGTATACAACAAATTCTAAAAATGGAAGCAACCAAATGGAAAACTATGTACACAACCTGAAAAGTGTTTGGAGTTAGCCAATGCAACAATGGCGAGCATGCGAGCACAGTCGGGTTTAAAAATAGTCACAAAGCCTTTCTGTTTATTAAGAACGCAACTCTTACTTCTAGCCGCAGCAAATTTGAGGCACTTATGCATAGTAAGTATGCAAGTATGTTCGGCAGAAACTACAAGCCATAGTATTTAGCAAAAAGGGAAATTCAGCAAAGAAAATAAAAAGAAAAATGCAAAAAAAAAACAGGAGGAAAAAACTAAAACCTAGAAACAGCAGCAGCAGAAAAACAAGAATAAATCCAAATACAAACGCACCCACGCTGAATAGTGCATTGCATTGTGTGCGTTTGCTTTGCGGTTTGCCGGTGCGTATACGTAACGCGCTTGTTGGTTGTGCGCACCGCTGCGCCCATTTGCTAATACAGTTACCGCTGCAATTCTTTGACTTTGCTATTAAAATTTATTTATTTATTGCTTCCTAAGCACGTTTTTGCTAGTTTTTTTTGTACATTTTATGTTTTCTTCATACGTTTGTCAAAAAATTTCCTTAGTTTTTTACAGGGCAATTCTGGTAACTGTTTTTCAACTCAACACAGTCTTTCGAAAAACAAAACGACTGATTTGCTAAAGGGACCGTTATTCTGTTTTCTTTTTAAGAAAACTTATTCTACAAATTAAATTAAATTGAAACAAATACATATATTACAAAGCAAAAAATATGAAGTTAGGGAAAATTAATTTAAAAAAATTTAGTTTAAAAGAAAAACGAAATAACTTTCTGCAAACTATGAAATTAAAAAAATATTTTTCTTTCTGAAAAATTTAATTAAAAGCAGAAAAAAAATTAGTATTTAAAAATAAACAAATTTTCTGCAAATCAAATGAAACTGAAAAAATTATAAAATCTTAAAGTTAAAAAACTATATTAAAAAAAGTAGAAATATATAATAAAAGGAAAAAAATAAGTTCCTGAAAATAATAAATAATTCAAAATAATAAAATCTAAACATTAAATGAAAATTAAATTAAAAATAGGTAATAACGGAGATAAAATAATTTTCTACATACTCAATTTAATTAAAAAAAAATGAATTTTTGTTTTTGAAACAATATCAACTAACAATTTGTACGTAAATTAAGGTAAATAACTAAAATAAAAAGTTAAAGTTGTTTTCTAGAAATTAGATGAAATAAAAATTTTTCGTCCTTTTAAAACAATAAAATGTGAAAGTTGAAACCAAAATTAATTATAAAATGTAAGAAAGAAAAAGAAATATGAGAGATTTAATAAAATTATGTAAAACAATAAAATTTTAAAATAAAAAGAAAATTTAATAAAAAACAAATAAATTAAAAAAATTTAGTAAAAGAAATATTTTTTCTTTTTAAAACAATGACACCTTAAAATTAAAAAAAACCGAAATTGAAATAGGAAAAAATACATAAACTTAAATATATATATTTTGTTATTTAAAAAAAAAGAAAATCTAAAAGCTACAAGAAAGTTAGTTTAGAAAAAACAGTTAAATTAAGAAAAATCCGCAGCCCAAGGATTCGAACATCAGATCTATGAAATGGCACGCTAAAGCTTTGCTCGCTCGGCCATTGTGACTGTTGGCCGAGCAAAATGATATACATCTCTATTTAGAACATGCCCAAGTGGCTTTTGTCAAAAGAGACTTTTACCATGAAAGTTGGCAAGAGAGCTTTCGTGCAAGAATAAACAAAATCTTTTAAACTTTCTTGCTTATTATCTTTCAATTGTTTTTCCAAAAGATTGCAACTATCTAATCCAGAATTGCCCTCCTAGCCTATTTAATAATAATAATATATTGGCGCTTATACTATTGCCAAGAGTTTGGCCAAGCTTTTTTCCGTGGGGCGGAAGTGGCCAGCTACTTTCACTATTTTCGCTTGACTACTACTACATATATGACTGCTACTTTCCTTTAAGGTTGTTTTTAAACACACATATAGAACGAAAACTGTTTTACAATTTCCCATCATGCTTAAAAAAAAAAATTCCTTTTACAAACGTCCAGTATCCCCACCTTTACACTTTGTTTCTAAGCGCTCCGTTTCTTTCTTTTACCTGAATTTCACATTTCATTCTCGTATTTCCAGTTTCGATTTCTACTCAGTCATTGCATTCCAATTCAATTTGATTTCTTGTACGGAATTCCTTTGCATTTTAACTCCTCTCTTCCGTGCTTATTTTCTCCCTCCAATCCCCTAATCCCCTTTTGCACACCAGCTGCCAAGTTACCCCACTAAGTAGGTAGTTTATAAAAAGTATAGTAAATCAGCAGTTTGTTAAGCTGCCAGCTGTTTGACTCAATGTGCCGCTTTACAGCTTTTGCCATATCATCGTTGCACAAGCCAACATCAGCTATTTATTTCTGCCATTGCCTTTATCATCGCAATTTCCGGCAGGTTAACCATAGCATTATTAAGTTATGGGTAATGCGTGTGAATGAGTGTTGTAAGTTGTTTTTGTTTTTTTTTGTTGTAGTACATATCCTTGCCAGGTCAACATTTGGCACCAACTTAACGCTGACTGAATGGCAGCAGCTGGTAATTTTTTTTTGTTCCCTATTTTTTGTTACCATTTTGTTTTTACCTTCTAATATTCCTTTTATTTCCAATTCCTTTTTATATCCTTTTGCTTTTATTTTCCTTTTGCATTTCTTCTCTACCTTAATCTTTTTTGTTTAACTTTTCTCATAAACTTATGGTTTTAGGTAACTCTCTCACTTGCCATACTTGCAACTGCTGGTACTCGGTACACACATATGTTGCATGCATTTTGCAGCGCAAAATAGTTAGCTTGGGAAAATTTGGAAAATTTAATCGTTTGGCCTTTTTACTTTTTGTTGTCTTTAGCCTTTTTTAACTTTTGGAAAGAACTAAGTGATTATGGGAATTTTTCTCTAATGACTATTGTAAGGAAGTCATCATAGTCAATGTTCTTGAATTCCAATATCCATGGGAGAGAAGATAGGTCTACTCCTTGTGGGTTGCCTTTGCTGACAAATCTGTTCGTCGTTGTACCTAGATCTACCGACACTACCCTTCCCTGCAGCATTTGGTCTACAAACTTCATCAGTCGCCAGTCAAGGCGTTCAGATCAGTAAGCATTGCCATAGTTCCTTTCTTTTGAGACCTATGTAGTTATGTAAAAATTTAGTAATTAATTTGTGTTTGGAGTCGTATTACTCCCATTTTGATGTTCCTTTAGAGAGGTATGGAAATGTAATTACGAGTTAAAGCGCCAAAATTGAAGTTAACATTTTCAACAGGTGGAAACCCTACACATTTTTTAATACTTCACATACATAGCTTTAGTATGATTTAATCAAATTCAACCCTCTTCGATATATTTTGCAGCTAAAACCTTCTAAGACCGTATTTTAAGCTGAATTTGACTTTTCAAAACATTTCGATTTATACACACATTGTAATAATTTAATTTAATTTTGAATTTTATTTTTTAATAGGTGGCAACTCTATTATAAAATTTAATACAAAATGTTGGAACGGTATAGATCTGATAACCTGGACAAAAAATCCCTTCGCATATTATATACAGTGCCGAACAAAAGTATTGGTACAGAGAATTGTTCAAAATATATTACAAGCTTTTTATTCTTATTTCTTTTTGGTAATTTTTTTATTAAAATATATTTCATACTACACCAAAATATATAAAAATTATATCAAATTTTCGAAAAATTCAATAAATACGGATACTAACTTGCAATTTTCTTATCAGGTTTTTTAGCTGTGGAGTTTTAAAGCCTATTTAATTTTGGTATAAAAAAAAAGCAAGTTTGAAGTTGCTCAAGAATTGCATTGATTTTTGGTCCATTTTTTAAGGACAGTGTTATTATTTTCTTCCATACCAAAAAAAAAAAAAATGTCGAACATACTTTGTAAGGAAGAAACTGTGTAAAAAAATTTCCAAAAAATAACACGATTTTTTATCCACTTTAAACTTGTACTTTGTAATACTAAAATT